ATTTTTAATAGGTAAACCATCTATACATGGGCCATTTTCCATGGCTATGTTAAATAACCAAATGGTAACAGTGATCATCCCCAATTTTTTTGGGGGTAGTGACTACACCCCCGAAGGAATCAATAGACGATTCGTAACAACCATGGCTTCTGTTGCGATCGTCCTATCCTCCCACTGCTCTCAGCTGCACCCCCTGCCATGGTGGGTACCTTGGAGTCTTCAAAGGTAGAAGGACTTGATGCACTGATTGATTTGTTGGGGTTTCATAGGGTTCTAAAATATATATATATATATATATATATGAGATTTTTTTTATAGGGGAATTGATGGTGGTTTTGTGGGATCTTATAGGGTTTTATAGCATTTTCTGGGACATTTATGATGATTATATGGGAATTTGTGGTGCATACCCTCTGGTAATTCAATATACATACGTATGGAACATGACGCATTCAGTTCAGAGAATTTACTGGCCCCTGATGTCAACTACATCCAAGAAGAAACCATAAGAACCCCCAACATGCACACACACACACATTTGCACATATAATATCTAAATATATATATATAATATGTGCAAATGAATAAATAAATAAAATATATATACATACACCCATATATGCATGTAATATATATAAATATAAATAAATATATATATATATATATTATATTAGTAATATATTAGTACTGTAGATCATAGTAAAATCATGTCCAATACTCAACCACTCACCGGCTCCGCAAATTGTACATCCAAGGCGAGAGGCAACACCAGTCCTGATGACTTCTGGACCAGTCGTCCTGCCATGTCGCGAAGCCTGGCGGCTGGTGTGGCATGAGAATGTGGGTATAACTGATGTAAATTTAATAAAGGGTTTATAGGGGTTTTATATGGTGTTTTAAAGGGTCTTATAGTGTTTATATGATTTTTATATAGGGTTTATAGTGTTTTGATGTAAAGTACATTATCCATATGTTTTATACTAATATTGACATTATGTTACAACATTACCTAGGATAATAATATCACAATAATATGATGGTTCATCCCCTTATCCCATTCTTAGTGTTTCATAGGAATCCCAATAGTTACCAACTGGGAAAAACAATGTCAAACCACCCATGACCGGGAATGGTAACCATATGTAACCATACCACCTATTTATGATGATTTGGGGGATGGTTTATGGCAGTGTCTTACCCACATTATACATTTATCACCTTTATATCACCTACGGGGGGACAATGATTTGGTCAAACATTGTATTTCAGGCTTACTTTGTTCACCAAAAACCCAGTCAATCACAATTGTGGCTTCAGGCTAAACACATCTAGAGCGTAAGGAGATTTTGCCGTACAGTATTCAGCAATTGATGCGCCTCGAGAACATGAATTGTTAACTTCACATCCCATTTGGGTTTTCCATTTTCTCCTACTAGTATATGGTAGCATAAAAATTGATGGCTCATCATCTTTCCCGTGAACAAATTGCCATCCCGTGGTGTCCACCCAAAAAACAACCCCATGTTCGATTGTTCATCGCTCAAAACCTGAATGTTTGATGGCAAAACATGGTAAAACCACATTGTTTTCACCATCCCTGATGTTTTTTCCCTCATTCCCTAGGAATTTCAATTGTTAAACATGGCTAAACACCATCCATCCCTATTTTTTCCCGGTGCACTTTTTTTTCGACCTCCGGCCTATGGTGCAGTCATAGAGCTCGCTCGAGGCTGGAGGGGCTGTGGTGCAGCCCAGCCCTGTGCTGGTGCAGCAGTACGTCTTCTGCGCCTGAAAAAATGGCTGGGTTGAGCTTGGAAACTCGCAAAGGTGGAGACCATTGGGAGAAATCTGAGAAATCCCCATGGTTTTTTAACCGTGAAAAATGGTGTTACCATCAAAATGGGATGATTCCCATCAGTTTTTCCATGGATGATCAAAAAACTGATGGGAAAATTACCATCCATGGAAATGATCTTGATTCATCATGGATTTTCCCATCAGTTTTTTTTTTGATCTGTACTGACAGCTGCACCTCGTCCCACGCCATGGGGTCCCCTTCACCTTGGTGGCCAGCTTTCAGGGTGCCCTGCAGCAAACCTACCAACAAATATCAACAAATATAGAACATCCCCCATGAATGTAGAAATATGTAGATCATGAAACTCATGGAAACCCATGGAAACCCATGGAAACCTATGGCCTTCATTGGCTTTCCAGCGATGTTTGCTGCAGGGTGACCCCTAAAAAAATATCATTTCCATTTCGAATGATGCACCATCTGGAGTTTCCAATAGTTTCTGCTACTTGTTGCTAGATGTTGCTAGCAAACATCCCACGGATATTGATGCTAAAATCCACATCAATTCCATGTTTGGTTCCTAAAATCTACATCAATTGATACTAAATATCCATATGATCTATATGTTTGAGGCTTAAATTCTCGTGTTTCATGTTGTTTTGTTGCCATGTTTGATGCTAAAAATATCAAAAAATCCACATGTTTCATGGTCAAATCCACACTTTCACCGTGGAAAAACGCTTCGGTCCAAGGTGCATGCGGCCCCAGCTGCCGTTCCAACAGAGGGCACCTGGCAGCGAACCCAAAGGCCCCTGCTGCTAGACACTGCACAAGACTTTTTTTTAAAGGACAAACTACTGTGTGCATAAATAAATAAACACATACATATATATATATATTACATAAATGCACATGCACACACATACACACACATATTTATATACACAAATATAAATATAAGTATATATATATATACATAATCACACACACATATGTTTATATAATATGTGTATACATGTTTGTTTGAGGATTTTCTCGAAACAAAACTGGAGTTATAAATCCTCAAAACAAGGAAACACACATGAATTTGTCATTCGGCTTTGACGGATTTTTTCAGGGATGAAAAATCCTGGATTTGCTGGTTTGCTCAGCTGGTTGTTCCCCATTGACCCATCATTGGAAGCTGCTAGTCACCTGCAAGCAACCTGTCTGGTGCTTGGCGCAACACCTGAGGCCATCTCTTGAAGGCTGGGGTGAAGCCGCGGCCGATGGGTTGGGTCGGCTGCCGACCCAAATAGAAGGGTTTTTTGTCAACAGAAACATGGAATGAAATGAAATACCATGGACTAGACTATTAGACTGAACATAGGCCCATTCGTGGTGATTTCCAATCGAACATAGGGCAGGACGACTGGGGGAGTGATGGTAAGCTGCGTTGCAAACTAAACAGGCTCGATATCTACCATGACTTCTGCTAATCAAATCTAATTTGAACAATGCCAGGCTTGAGATATGGCCGGGTGGATGTGGCAACGCAACAGGGCCACCAGGGATCCGCACCACTCTCGCTTCGAAGGCAGCCAATGCATTGGATCATTCGTTGCCGAGAGTTCCTTGCTGTCGCTGTGTCCCCCCCTTCCCTTTGCCAACTTTATCCACCGCCGTCACGCATGTGGAGATGAAATCGGATCTTGCAAACTCTGTTGCAACATATTGCGAAACAAAGGTGACCATGGTGTATATTATATATATATCATATGATTACATGATCTCACACAGCAATACATATACATAATGTCTCAGAATTCCATCCCAACAAAAACACAATATTCAATACAATTCGTGATTGAAATACACTCCCCACAATTAACACGACGACCTTGCCAAATAATTGGCTGGAAGTACTTTAACAAACACATTTTTTCCAAACAAAAAAGGACAATGGTGAGGTGTCTTAAAAGCTCACCAACGAAAAAAAAACAACGTCCGATTGCCCGGCCGCAAGTAAGGGTTTGTTTGACAAGTGGGTACATCACTCTGTTCCATCCACTGTTTGATCATTACCCTTTGGTAAACTAACATGACTATGGAAAATCACCATTGTTAATAGGTAAATCAACGAACTAAATGGGCCATGTTCAATAGTTATGTTAGTTTACCAGGGCGGTATGTCATTATTTTCTATGATTTCCCCTAACAACATTGACATCATTGGCACACAAACGGAGCTAAATCCACCATTTCCGTTCTTCATCCGGTACAACAGTGAAATCCTTCTTGTTGATGTTGAACCCGCCAGTATCCCCTTTATATTTCCCTTTTTTGATTGTCAATCCACCATGTTTCATTATTTTTCATGGTGGTAACACCACCATTCTTCACATTTTTTGATGGATATTCCACCATGTTTCATGATTTTTGATGGTAGCACCACCATTCATCACCATTTTTGCTGGTTACTCCACCATGTTTCATGATTTTTGATGGTAACACCACCATTCTTCACCATTTTTGATGGTTATTCCACCATGTTTCATGATTTTTGATGGTAACACCACCATTATTCACAATTTTTGCTGGTTACTCCACCATGTTTCATGTTTTTTGATGGTAACACCACCATTATTCACAATTTTTGATGGTTATTCCACCATGTTTCATGTTTTTTGATGGTAACACCATGTTTCATGTTTTTTTTTTATTGTAACACCACCATTCTTCACATTTTTTGATGGATATTCCACCATGGTCACCATGTTTCATGATTTTTGATGGTAACACCAAACCATTTTTGATGGTTATTCCACCATGTTTCATGATTTTGATGGTAACACCACCATTCTTCACATTTGTTGATGGATATTCCACCATGTTTCACGATTTTTGATGGTAACACCACCATTCTTCACAATTTTTTGATGGATATTCCACCATGTTTCATGATTTTTGATGGTAGCACCACCATTCATCACCATTTTTTGATGGATATTCCACCATGTTTCATGATTTTTGATGGTAACACCACCATTCTTCACCATTTTTGATGGTTATTCCACCATGTTTCATGATTTTTGATGGTAACACCACCATTCTTCACCATTTTTGAACAATTTTTTTTGTCCCACCATTCTTCATGGATTCCCACCGCATCACCCAACTCCAGACATCCCCGGCAGCCACATTTTCCGCGGGTGAAGGAACTTTATTTGTCCCAGGTGTCAGGCACTTCATCCAGCTTGCAGGTGGGTTCACTTGGCTTCTCCTCAGTCTGCGGTAGCCGGTTCACAAAATGGGTAGCCGTCATATCTTGTCGGAATTTCGGGATCCCTTACATAGGCCTTGTATATGGATATATATATATATATATATATATATATGGTAGGTACCTCCAATTTAGGTTCCTGAATTGGCCATTGATCTTGGTGAATTCTATGGTTTATGGAGGATATAACGAACTATCTAAGGGATCTTGATGGGTTTATAAACCATAAAACTACTTAGTTGATTAGAAATTGGCTGAGTCATAAATTACTGAACCAATTGAACCAACTAGATCATAAACCCAGGGTACTATTATGCTAAATTAAATGTGGACCTACTGATGATGACTACATTAGAACATCTACTGGTAATCATCTGTTAAAACTAAATGATATCTAGATGATAGTTGACAACTGATAAGGGTGCATAGTAGAATATGGAAGATTCACTACTTAGTTAAATGGCTCATGGAGGATAATTACAGCGAACTACTTAATATCCTCATGGGAACCAACTCTATAGAAATTGATTACCACTATTTTTGGATGATTGGATTTACTCTTCCCTCTTGGATGGCTTGGACAAGGTGAGGCCCACATCCCAAAAAGTAGATGTTAGGTTTATGGTGATTCTTTTAGCATATAGTTTTGGTAAAAGAAGCCTTTTCATTACCCTTCTATGTTTTCTTGGGGGTGATTTATATCTCTGTAGATAGGCATGGTATCAGCTGGCATAGTGGAGGCAATTGCACAACAGCTCATACAAATTCAGCTTGCAATTTTCCTGGTACAATCAGCACTGAGCGCATCAACCAAACATTGTTTTTCTGTCACCTCAAGGACTAAGCAGCTTAGCAGCGCAGCGCAGCTTGATCAGGGTCTACAAATGTTGGTATTTGCAATTAGATGCAAGTAGCAATGTTGTTTCGTCGCAGTTGATCGGCGGCCACAAATATCAGATTCTGCACTTGCCACGCTGGCTAAAAACAGCCCGACATCACGTTTTCCGCCACTTCTGAAATCACCAGACGAGCCACAGCAGCCACATCCCTGGTGCACAGAATGAAGATGGCATAGCCAGTCAGAAACGATCCCACCCCCAGTAGCAACCATGGAGCAACTGGCCGCGTGCGGAACAAAATGGGGCACCGTTTAACGGGACTGTGCCATCCAGCTCTGAACCCTAGGGTTTCACCCCATTCCGTGGACTATGACAAGTGGTTGCATGTACCCTCTGGTAAACTAACATAGCTATGGAAAATCATCATTTTTTTATGGGAAAACTCACTATAAATGGCCATTTTCAATAGCTATGTTAAATTACCAGAAGGTATAAGCCATAAAATGTCATAAACCCATCACGAGATCAACATATTTTCCACGCATCTTAATTTCATGCACTTTTACTACTACTCCAAGCTCCTTCAATAAGCCTCAGCCATCATCCCAATAATCCCCGTATCCAACTCCAACCTCCGGATCTGATTCCTTTGATGCATATCCAACTAGCGGTGAACAAATCCTGCAAAATGGACAATGAGTCATGGTCTAATAATGCTTTAATAAGTTAATTTAATATCAATTATATCCTCAACATCTTGAAGAAAACACCACAACTTTACATCTATGTTTATCATCATTCCCATGGATCCCATGGATCCACCCCGGCCTTTCCGCAACGGCTTGGGCAGTTTCTTCCACCATCGTTGCACCTTCTTCCGCCAGGAGATCTGGAGCCGCTTCGCTTCGTTCGCTTCGCCGACGGGCGACGTGGGGGACGCAGGCGCCTGGCCGGGGCGATGGCTGAACCATGAAATCATGGCTTTAACCCCCCTATTTAAACAGCTATTGAAATATCTGAAAAATCCAGTGATAAATTTTCTAAATATTATTTTTCTGGGTGAAACAATGTGAAAAACAACTGTTTAAATAATATGTATCTTTAATCGTGGAAAGACATACATAAATTGGATTTAAGGTGGGTGTAAGAGTTTAACCATGAAAATTGATGAACATTGGAGGTTCAACATGATTTAAATATGTAATAATCAAGAAATTGTTGATTTGAAATGGATGAATGTTGATAGGTTATGGGGGGGAGGGGTCTGGGGGTATGGGGGAAAGCTAGTTTGTCTCAATCTTGATCTTGGCAAAACACCTACGAGACTCAATAGTACTTAGTAAGCACTACTAAGGCCTATTAGGCCTTACTAGTCCCTAGGAAGCTTTTGGTGCCAACAAGCCAGCATGTTGTTGAAAGCAATCCACAAAAGGGAGCTCATTTTGGGGCTCAAATTTGCTGCATTTTGCAGTGAAGCTTGGTGAGAGCAATTTGGTCGCGCACCGTGAACCATGGCTGCACATGGGTTGGGCACTCAGGGTAGTTGTTTACACTCTTATCAATGTTTGATTTTCTGTTCACGGCGTAGAACCCATGCTTTCCCCAGCCACCCATGGACATAGCCCACTATCAATGGAATCATGAATCATCAGCTGCTCAAGCCAGGAAAATGGAGTGCCAAAGGCACACAGGCAAAGGTGAGTCAGTCCAAGGTAGCCGCACTGGAAGAAGTTTTGCTTTCATGGAAATGACTTACCATATGTATTGGAAAGCTGATACTGGGTATGTTTCAACCTACAAGTGTCCAAGCAGGGAAGAACTGCGAAATGCAGTTACTCAGCTGGATGAAAGATTGAAAGAATGATACATCCGAGCAGGATGCAAAAATAATCTTTGCGCGCCTCCTGAGTGTGATGCCACTACACTCCACCATTTCACTTTGAAGCTGTTTGAGTCTACCATCATTTCCCCCATACCCCTAGACCCCTCCCCCCCATAACCTATCAAATGTAGGTTTAAGAGTCTCACATGGAGGAAGTCTGCCATAAATCATTTACTGACCCCCACACCCTGCACACTGTAAAAGCTTCCACTGGCTGTTTATTTCAGCATTGAACTGGTTGGGTGGTTTGGATACTCCAACCCTGTGGCCCTTGTGGTTCTCGGATGCATCTTGCTCATTCAAGATTTGATGTGTTGGGACCCCAATGCTTAGGCCTGAATTTTTAGAATGCCCGTACAGGTTTGAGGTCAAAGATACGTGTTCATAGATTTGCTCACTTCTCAGAAGTGGCCGTGGACCACATGCCCCAAGATTGAAACTGGACAGTTGGACGCGGAAAAATACGCATCCAATCAACCCCCGCTATCTCTCTCTATCTCTTTCTTTCCTCTGTCTATCTCTGTCTCTATAAAGAACGTGCCGGCACGATCCATGCCATCCATGCCTTCTTCTTCTCCCGGCGATCGCGAGCGAAACTGTTCAACTCATCCGACCAGCGCTCCTCCTGAACGCCAAGGGGATCAAACATGTCATGGTCCTAACATTTTGTTGACGTGAAAAATGGTGACCATGTGCACGCCCATATAATATGCATATATTATACATATATATGAATATAAATGTAGATAGAAAGCATGTATGTACGTACGTACGTACGTACGTATGTATGTACGACTTATGTATACCCCTCTCCCTCTCTCTCTCTCTCTCTCTCTCTTTCTCTCCCAACCTTTCTCAGCCAGGCTGAGTTTTTGATTTATTCTGCATGCAATTACTAATCGATGCATGTGTAAAGATAAATGTATGAAAAATGAAAGCATGATGTAAGTGATTGCAAACACACGCAGGTTATATATATATATATATGCATATGTATATATGAATGTGTATATATAAGTATATATATATATGAATGTTAATATATATATATATATATATATACGTCTATTAAAGTAAGTGAACAATAAATTTACAACCAGCCATAACAAGTAAGTATGTGTACAGTAACTGCCCACTAGTAGTGTTTCAGTGGTGGGGCTCTCTGACTCCAGCGAGCACTCAGCCATTAGGGAAGCATAGGGAAGCTGAGGTGCGTCTGAGAGGGGGACCGGGAAGGAGGAAAAATGGTCCACAAATGTCAGCGCTTGTTGGCGAAGTTGGGGAGCTGTACTGTACTTCAAAAAAAGGAAACAGTAGGGCAAATTTATTGAATGCGAATGTCTGCACTATGCGTAGAACTACTCTGATTTGCCATATGTTTAATACTTCTATATTTGGCATTTTGTGACCTGTAAAACAGCTTAAAACAGCACAACGGCAACTCTCTCTCTCTCTCTCGCGCGCGTTCGTTTTCCACCAGGGCTCCATATCCAACCAGGTGGTCACTGGATGTTTGCTCTTGGCCCCTGTGAGCTTTGGCCACTTCTCCTTAGTCCGTGGCGCCGCGTGGCGTTGAAAAACGTAAAGCTGAGTCGACCATCTGAAGAACAACGATCTATTTAGGGGGAGGTGTTATAATGTTATACACATGTTGCATGATGTTATACTTACAACTGATATCAGCAGTTCTGACAATATTATTTCAATATCTAACACTGATGAAATATGCATTTCATGGTAAAACCATATTGCATGTCATTTCCATGTTTCATGGTAAACATCATCTGAAAACCATATTTTCAGAGTTCAACCATGTTTTTCCCCATTTGTCCGCCTGTTTTGTCCATTTCTTCCACTGGTTTGTCCCATTTTTTTGCCGTTTTTCACAATGAAAGCCATGTGTGGTCTGTCATCCCAGTTGCAGGGGTCTGTTTCTGCAAGGTCGCGGTGGCGCGGCCCACCGAAGCACTGGACCAGCTACTGCTGTCTGGCACCTGGCGACTTTTTTTCGGGATTCCATGGGAATCCATGGGATTTGGGGAAAAAATGATGGGAAAATGGAGGTGAAATGGCAAATCTCTCTCCATCACCATCAGGCCATCAGGTCACTAAAGCCTGGAGACTAGGAAGCGAGCATAGTAGGAAAAGATGATTTGATGTCACATTTTTTAATTGGGAGAAGAATTGGATGATAATAGGTTAATATAGATTAATTATAGTAATGGATTTGCATGTGTCGCCAAACCCCAAACTAAATGGAAATTTGACTGGGAAAAATGGAGTGGGAACTATTATTGTAATATATTGTACTATTTTGGATCAAGTGTTAATCCCAAAACATGTTTTCAATATTTGTTGTCTGAATCTATATTTTCCAGGATTCAATTCAATGCTGATGCAATATAGTAATTTAGCAATCACACTATGGAGATTCCTAATAATTTAAGGTTCTACACTTGGCCATTAAAAGGTAAAGTACATTAGTGATGGTCTTTAAAGTTGGGGAAGCACCATGTCGATGCTTAAACTCCAATAACTCCATCGAAATGGTGTTTTTTTTTTAAATATGGTTTAATCATGAAAAATAGAGATTTCACCAGCACACATGGTGATTTAACCAATAAATAACGGAGAACTCCAGCAACTGTTGGTGTTAGGTTTATGGTAGATATTGAACTAATTGACCGGGGTGATAAACCAACATAGTCATCACTGGGAGGGCACCACCTCGTAGCTTCCCTCTATAAAACTCCTTGGAAAGCATGATGGCATGAACTGGATCTATTCATATGTTGTGGTACTTAAGATTTTAAGATTTTTTTGAGGGGGAATGGGAGTGTACACATATAAGTATATATATATTATAAAAATAAATATCTATATAGTCTATATCTATATATATATATATATATACGTAAATATTTAAATATCTATATCTATATATATATATACACTTAAATATATATATATATATGTGGCAGGGACCTTTGGGGTCTATTTCGTTCGTTGGCCTAGAAAGGCATCTTCTTCAATCTAATGAGCGCTACAGCAAACATTTGTATAACCGCGCGAGACTTTCCGAAGCGCTGGACGTTGATCGGAGACAGTAACTGGGATGGGAGGGTGGGACTGTTAAACACATGTACTGGCTTGCTCGTTGCTGCGCCCTTGCTGCAAAGCTCAGATGAAGGGCTGGGCACGCAAAATCTTTTGAAACTGAACATGTTCATCCACAACCTCCTGCAGCGCTCTGCGTGGATATAACGTTTTGGTTTCTTCATCCGTGGGTATGGGATGGATCTGTTGCAGCCTCCACTTCCACGGTGGTGACTTCAATGGGCAGGAAGGCTGGGCGGGAAAACTGCTTCAAGTTTGCTGAAAAAGTTCCGCCAAAGGCTGGGCACTTTCTAGTTTTTTTTCGAGGGAACATGTTTAAACACAACCTCCAGCAGCGCTCTGCGTGAGCATGACGTTTTGGTTTCTTCATCCGTGGATATGGGATAGATCTGTTTCAGCCTCTATGTCCATGGTGGCGACTATGGACGGGAAGGCTGGGCGGGAAAACTGCTGCACGCTTGCTGAAAAAGCTCTGCCAAAGGTTGGGCAGACAAAATATTGACTTTTTCAACGGAACATGTTTACCCACAACCTACTGCAGCACTCTGCGTGAGTATGACATTTTCGTTTCTTCATTCGTGGATATGGGATGGGTTGTTTCAGCCTCCATGTCCGTGGTGGCAGCAATCATGGATGGGAGGGCTGGGTGGGAAAACGGACGTGCTGGCTTGTGTGCTGTTGGGCGATTGCTGATGGTTGGGCACGCGAAGCTCCTTGTCAACGCTTTGTTGGCAAGCTTTAATCTCTGCGTTAACCCGACAACGCGGTCCATATTGGAACACGCCAGGCAACACCAACCACATGCAGGCCCCAATCGTGCCTCCTCGATTGCAGTGAACCCTTGCAAGCCTACCAGGGCACTTGGTGAGACTGTTGCAAAAACTAAACAAGGAAGGTGGCACAGGACTTGCATCGCTTGGGACTTGCAGACACATCTTCAACACACATGTTACATATGCATGAACAGAGGCTTGGACTTTCTTTTCTCCAATCCGATGCACTGCTGCACGCTATCGTCGAAGCCTTTTCGGCTTGACGCCGGAAGATCGCCAATCCGATGCACTGCTGATCGCTATCGTCGAAGCCTTTTCGGCTTGACGCCGGAAGATCGAATCGAGTGCACACGTTTGACAGAGTGGACTGTCCTCTTTCCGCGTTTCTTCATGGGGATTGTCTGTGCTTCCACTTCCACTTCTGTACCTTTCTGGCTTCCGCTTGCCGCGCCCGATGCAAAGGTACAGGTGCCTTGGCAGACGAGCAACAGTTTTGCCAGGTGGCATCGGTCCAGACATCAGTGGCCACTGCCCGCGCAAGCAGGACAGCTTCTGAAGTCTGCTGCGCCGTAGGAAAACACGATGCGACATGATGGGCGAGCACCTTGCCAAACTGCATAATTTCAAGCTTCAGCCGCAATGTGCTCTGGTGCAATGAATGGATGGACTTTGTCCACGAATTTATCTCGGCATGAAGGGACTCATTAGAGGACGTGCCACTTGGCAGCAACCCCCGCTCTAGAGTGGTTAGATCGTGCCGCACACGAAGGTTGTTCATCAGCCATTCCAATCTATCTGGTGCTGTGGCTGCCCAAAGAACCTTCCTAAGTTCTTTGTTGGAGCCTGTCACTTTACGGCTCACCTCATGTGGGTACGTTGCACAAAGGGCGGCTAATGCCTCAATGAAGGTGATTCGGCAGAACGAAGGCGAATCTGGATGAAGGTTGTCCAGGATGCATTTGGCCCTGGTTGCGCCCATGCTGCCGTCAGTGATGAGATGTCGTGCCCGCTCTTCATCGCGAGTCAGGCTTGGCGGTGCGGTGCCAGTGAAGAGGGGCCCCCAAGAGCTGGAACGCATGTTCGGGGCTACCTGGTTCATCTTATGTAGCAAACACCGTAGAACTTTCGATCCAGCCGTCTTCTTCCCCCACTGGGCATATTCGTAGACAATGGCCAGATGAACAGGATCCAAGGAGAGGCAGCTCAGGTTTGGGCAGATCTCTTTCAACTCGCGGAAGAGCTTAGGAGAGGGGTTGTCCGTAGCTAAATATCGAACCTGGAACAATGCCTGGTTGGAGAAAAGATTGCGCAGAGATTCCTTGATCTTTGGTGACTCTTCACTCGGAACAGGAACCATGCCTAAGACGGCACCGGTACGCCCCCTGATAGTCAGCACCCTTCTCAAAGAATGCTCATCATCAAAGCAAGCCGCATTTCGGGTTTGGGCCGATGCTCTATAGTTTGCTTGTCCCTGCACAGTCATGCAGACTTTGAGTGTAGCATCAATGGACAAGCACAAGAATTCCTGACTATGTTCCAAAGTTTTGAGGATGGAGCTCTTCAAGCTTTGGACTTGATAGGACATGTAGATGTCCTCCTGGAGGATTAAAATGATTAAAATGATTAAAAGGATTAAAGGGATTAAAAGAATTAAAAGAATTAAATCATTTAATCCTTTTAATCCTTTTAATCCCCCAAAGGCTCTGGAGGCTTAAAAGAATTAAATCATTTAATCCTTTTAATCCCCCAAAGGCTCTGGAGGATTAAAAGGATTAAAAGAATTAAATCATTTAATCCGGTTAATCCTTTTAATCCTCCAAAGGCTCTGGAGGATTAAAAGGATTAAAAGGATTAAATCAATTAATTCTTTAAATCCTCACAATTTTCCAAAAGGCTCTAAAATTTATCAGAATTAACCGGAACAAAATGGTACCTAAAGGTCTCTCGATCATATATATATATATATATCTATTAACATAATTACATACATAAAAAACATGTGTATATATATATATATACACATTTGCAGAATGGTCTTGACAGTGTTTTTTTTATTGCAAATTTTGATAAGTTATGCTATATACATCTATATACTTTTCGATGAAATCCCCGAAAGGCCCCCCCATGGCAGCCATGGCACAATTGGAGCGAAAAGAGGCAGGTCGACCACATATCCTCAGGCCAGGCCAGTTCGCGGGTTTGATCCTGTTTTTCAATGGGGCTACCATGTAACCTCCAACTAAAGCTGGAGATTTTCCACATGAGTCTTAGGTCATTTAAGATCTCGGGTTGCTTCTTTTGTGGTGCATTTTTCCCCACAGAGGATGGCACTCCGAATCGCACTCCTGGGCTTTCACCCATGAGATGCGTAACTTTTGCCAACCTTGGGATTCAGAAGGGTTGCCCTGTGTCATCCTTGAGAATGTTATGGCATGGTCCGATCAAATACACACATGCAAGCAAAACTATCCAGAATATAAATGTCAACAATCTTGAACAATATTTCCCACTAGGCTGACAGTGTACCAGAATCAAACTGCTACGCGGATAGCACCCAAAAAGTAGTCTTTTCAATCAGCGATGACCGTAGTTGGACCCTTTAGCAGCGCGCTGAGTATCTCTTTCTGATGGAGGAATGGTGCCCAAACGCAGCCAGTGAAAAGTTCGTGTCCTCGTTGCCATGCGGGCTTGCAGACGTCAAAAATGGACGGATTTTTTAGGTGAACATTTGCCCCTAAGAAATAGACCTTTTTTTTCCTTAAATGGACACCCAATGAAACAGCCTAGGGGTACAGTGAAACATGATGTGGGAACATACATCTTGTCACGCTGCATGCGTCAGTTTCATGAGACTGCAGGGTCTCCAGCAAACACCTCTTTTCCGCCCCTATTTTCATGATTCTTGATCTTTGATCATACGGGAATCCCAACTTCGCAACGGAAAATTCACCATGATGTAGTTTGATGATTTTCCATGATTTTCCCATCTAGAAACCTCCATTGGGTGTGGGGATTTCCCATGAACAGTTGAAGGACTGAAGGATCCTTCATACTCAGATTTGCCACACGTCAGCTGCGTGGCCCTAAAAATCATGAACCACAACCCCCAAAAAAGGTATGGTTCCCGAGCCTCAGACCGAATGAGTCGCAAACCTGACCCTCAAGGCTTTCTGAAGAACAAGAACGTGGAAGGCAAAAGCTGGGCAGGGTCCGAAAACTACGGATTTCCATGCCGCAGAAATAGATCATGAAGTGTCCGTGCTGGTGACATTTTGTTCCCTGAGTGTTTTGAAGGCAGGTGGCTTTGCATCTTGGAGACAGGCACCATGAGTGGCAACACGCAATGAATCGGAATATTCAACCACCCCAGCACCCACAGCATGGGCCCCCTTTTTTCGGTTTATTTCCTTATGTTTCCTGCATTTCTCTCGGTCTATCGGCTATCGCATTGAGAAATTGAGGCCAGCATTAAATCAATGTAACCTCGCCTTCAGCTTTTTCTTTGACCTATATGCTCCATGTATGGTATATTTACCTACATTTGGGTGATTTGTTCCCCAAATGTAGGTAAATATTCCAGCACCATGGAGCATATGGGGGAAAAAAGTATCAGATTTTCTCACTTGGCTCCACCATGCTCCCCTAAAAGCCCAGCTTCGGTGATGTTCACCCCCACGTCTGCCACTTCAATAGCACCCGGGGCTGACCAGCGCGACGCGTATTTGACGCCCAGGAAAATGGTGGTGGAATTTTGCGCCCACTGCAGGGCACATGGCACCTCGGAACCCCGCTAAAAAAACAGCCCAGTTGAACCCACCTAACAACCACAATATCCCAATGCCCCAATGCATATCTATTATAGCTTTATCTCTGGTAATCCAAGAGTCTAAGAGTTTGCTATCGAAAAACCATGGTTTTTGATAGATCAATCGGAGAAATCATTCAAAACCCAGCATTTTAGGCAGGTAAATCATCTACAAACTGCGCGCCTTCAGTTCCAAGCGGCTTCATCCAAACCCTGTCGTCCATGCTCCCTGGAAGTTTCCTCCACGTATGCCATGAGCCGATCGGCCTCCAGCTTCACCTTGGAGAAACAGCTGCAGAGTTTCAGGTTTTTTTTTGGATCAACATCACCCATAGGATCCATTGGTTGGTAATATACTGTGAATATATGGTTAATATGAATGGTTATTATATGTTATTATATGCATGGTTAATATACTGGTTTATATATCCCATAGGACCATAGGATCCATGGTGCAGGTATATATGCTAACATAAATGGGGTATATTGATGGGATCCATGGAGCACCATATATATAGCATCATGGATCCTATGGGTGATGGATTGCATGACTGCATTGGAACCAAGTAACTCACTGGTTGAAACTTTTTCACAGCTTTTTGACTTGAGGATTGCTTAATACTACGCATATTCTTCTTGTGAAGGAAACTAGATATGATGTCAGAGAGTGTGCGGCTTGCCTCTTTTGGCACCAGTGTGAGCCTAATTGGCACAAGATTGTCTGGCAAAATGCTGCTTCACACATGTTCAATATTTTTCAATAATCTCTGGATCCCCCATGTAGAGCGCCCCTGGAATTTTCGGTATGGAAACATATTCTTTGACGGTCTTGAAAAAATGTGGGTAGTAAGTCGGTGGATTCGAAAAATCTCCCAATTTATGCCTGTGTTGAATTGTGTTGATGGGGATTATATGATGCTTGACCAGTTTTGGGCTGATTTTACCCTACCCGGTTTGCAGAGAAACGCAGGTTGTTTAATGGTTAACACATGATCTTTCATTCTTTGTTTGGAGTGTTGCCTCGCAAATGTATCTCCCAACAAAAATCAAGATAGAGCACGCAAACGGCATGGAATCACGTCTCTATCCATTTGTTGTGACTCAGGTGAACAAATACAAAACACACATAAACACAATTTTTAAAGCATTGTGAAGCTACAATAGAATACGCAATTGGCCAGCATTAACCATCTTGTCATTTTTTCTGGGACCTCTGCCAAATGTCTTGTTCATCTAGCCCCAGCCCCATTTCAAACAGGGAACATAGCACGAAGCCGAACTTCTGCCCACTCAATCCACCCAGCCCCCACCCAGGGCACCATCTTTGGTGGTCAAGTCCCTCTTTCTGTTGGTGAAGTTCCCAATTGTTCACGCTTCAATCCACTTGGAAAATGGGTAATCCAACAAGTCAATGGTAGCCAATGGTAATTCAATGGTGATTTATCATCATTTATTGGGTGAAAATCAAATCTATCATCATCTCGAATCATGTCAAGGTTTTATATGGATTTTATTGGTGTTCATCCATGATTTTTTATCATCTCCGGGTCTTTTTGTTGGATGAACATCCATCACCTCCACGCAATGAAAATGCCAGCTGACGTCGTTGGTGCGCAAGCGCACTTCCGTGTCCAACAGCTCAAAGGTCCCCGGTTTTGCGCTGGTCTTCGCCTTCAGGACCATTAACCGGGCAGCGCCTCAATGGAGTCCATCATTTTGGGCTTTCAGAGAGGAGCTTTCCTAAAATACCCCATCCCATCCCATCCCCAAACTCGTCCATTTGTTGTTTCCGCATGTTCCATCTGATCCAATCTGGGGTACCAATGGGTACGGGTACCCCCTCTGGAAACCTCATGAAACCTCCATTTCTGGTGCCTTTGATCATCGTTTGTCCTTGTCTTTGATCAGTGCTGTATGATCTACGCCTCTACGTCAGTGAGAAGCCCCATCACATCCAAAAGAGTTTGTGAAAAACACGGACCACTTTTCTTTTTCCATGGCAATTTCATCGATTTTTTTTTGGGTCCACAGAGCCACGAAGCCACAAAACTGCTTCGTGAGGTTCCGGAAGTTCTCGTTGGGAACTAGCTATGTGGCCCAACGGAGATCCACTTTTTTTTTCCAGTTTGAAACCCTGCATTCCAACGGATATGTGTTTTTTGTTCCACTGCCATAAGCCATTGAGAAAAGAACGTTTTCTAGAGTTCAACAGTCGGCACCCGAATCTGGAATCTATATTAATTAATCATTATTAATCTATAGGATCTGTGGCAAATCCAATAACAAACATTAAGAAACCATCCGCAAAATCACCAAAATTCATATGGCTGGGAATTTCCACCATCCCTGGCAACACGGTCAAGTGACGCCACCAACTCTGAGAGGTGCAAAGACGCATCCAATGAAGGCTCTTCGACATCACCTGAGGCCAATCGTTGATTCCAAAAAGAGATACCACGGGGAATTTGATGGGAATTCTATGGTGATATATGGCTGGTTGGTGGTGCAATAACCATCTTGAAAAATGATGGAGTTCGTCAATGGGAAGGATGACATCCCACGATTATGCCAAAAAAATGAAATGGAATTTTTTAAAGCCATGTTCCAAACCACCAGATGGGAACATGTTGGAGTCCGGGATGATGAAACCTTGGGATAACCTGAGGGATAACCCAAGCAATCTTTGAGAATTGGATTCTTGGAGAACATCTTCACCGGGAACCCATGGGTCATGGCTTTTCCAAACCAGTCCATTGAGCGTTGAAAAAAGTTGGACAGTTGCTTAGCGATGAACATCTGCAATTCCTTTGGTAAGAATATATGGATCTCTCTCATCTCTCCGAAAAAATGGGAAACACGTTTGATAAGAAGATTATATGGTAATCTTAAGGATGGGCTGCTTAAAAAAGTATTGCCAATATTGCGCTTTTGCTGCGAAAAAAAATGCGAACATGTTCAGTTCCGATCAGCAAAAAAAAGAAAATACATCTGCTGGGCATCTGGTACCTCACGTATTCAAGGTGGCCTGATGAGTACGGTGTACTTGTTAGATTTTGATTTGTGTTTTCAGCCCCCTGACAATAATTCTTGAAAACTGAAACGACCAACCACTCTTGCTTAGAATTGTTTCGGACCTTTGCTGGACATCAATACACGTTCCGCATTCTGCTACGCTTTCCGCCATGCTTTTTCCAATTCTCACGTAACTTTGGGTCCACATCATTTTCGGGCTCACTTTCCTTTCCTAACATGTTCATTCCATCTTCACCCAAACAATTGCCCAGTTTCATTCATTTTCTCCATCAAAACATCACATTAACATTGCTTGGATCGATCTGAAGTGGGGGTCATGCTACATTTCCCCCAACAGGTGGTGGACATGAGCTGGTTATAGTTGCCCCATGAATCCTAACATCGATGAACTATACACCTACCTCCCTCCGTTGAGTTTGGGCAGTTCGAAACCGACTTCCTAAGTTCGCCGGCGATGGCCGCCTGCTCCTCCACCGCAGCATCCTCCAGTCCCTGCAACAGCTCCTGCTCACTGCGGAAGTGAAGCTCTTCCGCCACCGCAGTCAGCAGCGTTAGCGGTAAGACCGCTAGGAAGCGCCACGGCATGGTGCCGCAACGCAGCTAAGAGATGTATGTGGAAAGATATGATTGTAGTGTAGTACATGTGTTTTTGTTCCTTTTGGATCCTCTTGGCATTATTTGTGATGGGGTATCTGGAGTGCTTGGTCCATGGCTTCAGCAATCCGTTGGGCACAGTGGTGACTGATACGCCACGTTGTGAGGGAAACATCGCAACAGTACCGGGGGCAGTTGGATCCCCATGATATGGGAGTTTGACCAACAGAAATGAAATGGTTGCTTGTTCATGGTGCTGTAAACATTCCCCTCCATGCCAGCGCAGTTGCTGGAGATTGCTGGAGCCAAAGGCATTGGCAACTTCGAATAATTATGACACCCAGTGCATGGGCCCAAGCCCTGCCCATTCCAAACTTCCTTTTTTTTGCCTCGAAAAGGATCCGAACCCCCATAATCCGGCAGAACTGCTTGGAAGATCACCACACTAATATGGCAACTGCTTGTAACCCTGCAGAATATGTCCCCCACGTGGGATCAGATCACAGTGCAGCGCTACGCTCGTTGCCAAGTGACACAGTTGGGTTCCGGTGGGACCTCCATCTTGCAGCCGATGCTCACGTGTTTGCAGCAGAAATCCTGCTGCTCCTGCCTTGATGCTGATGAAATTCCCATAAATTCCCTTGGGGTTTTCCCAGAAAAACCATCAGGGCGTTAAAAAAAAGGGCTGTGCTGCAAGTTCATGTGCAATAAAACCAGGATTTATCCGATAAACCGCCCAACAACCATGCTGATTCTCTGTTGGAGCCGCTGACCCTGTAGAGTTTCTGGTCCGTTTTCGCATCTTGAATTTTCATCTTCACCTGTTTAGATGTTCAGCACAGCCGCAGCCGCCGGTTTTCAATGATTTTCATATTCCCCCAAACAATGCCAGTCGGTCTAATAATCTCCCCTATCTTTGCTGATGAATTCCCCATTCATGCTGGCTGATGCCCCCCACTAATCTGGGCAAATTGTTATAATGTATAAATGACACACCCGAAACCAGCTTTAACTTCGCCCCAGAAACACAGCAAACGAGATAGGGGATATAACCAAGCAACACATGTCATCATGTCACCACATGGAGGTTTCCTAAAATGGGGATACCCCAAATCATCCAACATGGTTAAAACGAAAAATAAAAACCATCCCCAAAATCACCAAAATCTTATGGGTGGGATTCCAAGAATCAAACATGTGGTGGTTTGTGGCATTGTTTTACCCACATTGGACCATTTTCGTATTGAAACAACCCATGGTGACGGAGATCTCTCACAGGATCCACCTGCCATCGGTCAAAACCGAGCGACGACCAGCCACTCGGCATGCCCACGTGGCAGTGGAAGGTCACTGCCTTGGCTCGTTTCTATCCCCTCTCAAACGATGTTTGAACCCAAAAATAATCCACTTTTCATGTCATGTTCTTAGAAAAAAACCGTCGCACTATAGGTACTATAAAGTACCTCATTTTGCAATTGTTGTTGATTTAACCATCTTACCCTCTGGACAAAAATCACATTGTAACAGAGCTACGGAAAATGATCCCTTCAATTCAATGATTTACCTATTCAAGTGATGACTTTCCATAGTTAATCAGTTACCAGAGAGAGTAATCCAAATAATTCCCCTTGAACTCTCATTAAGCACTTATTCAATCATATAAAATCTCCTCATGTTTGCTAGAGAACTGCATTTTTTGTGGCTCCCTTGGCGTGCCCCCACAGGCAAAGGGACAAAGGGAACCACCCCATCAGGTGCTCCGGCAATGGCCCTCAGTGACAGACTGGGGCTGGAACCGGCTGGATATGATCGGGGTTACCTATATTCATATATATATATATATATATAACCCACTTGTAATGGGATAAGATGGGATCAGCGATTAAGTTCACCATAGCTATAAAGTATAACATCTTCACCCACTTATGAACGGCCCCTCATGGATCTCATGGGAGACTTTTTGGGACTAAAAATGCTTAATGTGGTTTAAACAATCATAAACCATCCCCAAAATCACCATGTTTATGGGATTTTATGAGTGGGATCCATCCAAATCATCAATGGGGGTGGTTTGTGGCATTGTTTTACCCACATTGGACCATTTTAGTATTGAAACAACCCATGACGACTGGAGATCTCCCACCGGAACCACCAAAAATCGGGCCCCCCCCTTCCCCTGTGGGATGATCACGTTGAATCTCCATTGAAGTTGATTGATATGATTGATACATCCGGAAGATATAATATATATATATGTACAATAATATATAATATAACATGATATGAGATATATATATAAATATCTAATATGATATATATATATATAGCTATGTATAATATGTTTATATGTAATTAGCAATACCAGAATAAAGAAACATATTTCCAGGATGTTCTAGATGATGTCTACTCCGCAAGTTCCAAGTTTCCAACTTTTCTGTCTATTTGGAGGTTGCATACGCACACACACATAGTATATGTACATACGCATGTGTGTGTAGGTGTGTGTGTGTCATACGTATGTGTACTATACATTTGCATAATCATAAAAAAAGTAATTGCATATATATATATATGTATCTTATAATATATACACATGCTAATTACACAACTGACATTCTCCCCATTTTCCTTAGTAAAACCAAATCTCGCTGCTTGTCGAGTCACGGCACCCCCTTCAGCCCCTGCAGCTGCCGGCATGTTCCAATGGAGGCGACTTGCATGGAGGACTTTGATGTGGTCTTATATGGTTTAATGTGAGTAAAACACTAATAAACAATCCCCCAAATCACCATTGACAGTCTTTAGTAAAGGGATAATCATGATCCTTATGATAGTTATGAATTGCATGTTCCTTGTTTGAATTTCAATTGTCTAAAACTGGGAGAAAACCACTTTTCGGACATTATATTAATAAAGATATATACACTTAGTGTATCACATGATTATCATAACGTAGATCCTAAATGATCTAAATGGACGTTTAACCAAACACTCTGTAGGGAAGCCGTGGAAGACTCATGACTCCGACGACTCATAAATGTGTCACGAAAAAGTTCAACAACGTCAACCAATAGATTGGTCAACAAAAAAAGCGCCCGCTTACCGAATCTCCGAAAGAACAGGACTGATTGGTAGTGCAATAACCAATATATGGTTAATATTGATGGTTACTATATGGTTAATGATGGTTAATAATAATCTGGTTGGTGGTGCAATAACCATCTGGAAAAATATTAGTTAATGTCAATGGGAAGGATGACATCCCATATATGAAGTGGAAAATTAAAGCCATGTTTGAAACCACCAGAATACATCTGATATCAGTAGAATATAGCGACCAGAACAAAATTAATAGTCATAATAATAGTAACAACATCAAACAGAATAGTAAAAATAATAATAATCGAGTCCTTGATCCACAAAATTTGGAGATGACTGCTAAAAACTATCAACATATAAGTACCATATAAACAAACATCTAAGTAACATCTAAGTAACATATAAGTAACATAAAAGTACCATACAAGTAACATCAAAGTGATATCTAAGTGACATCTAAGTGACATCTAAGAAACATAAAAGTAACATGACATATAAGTAACAAATAAGTCACATCTAAGTAACATATAAGTAACATATAAGAAACATATAAGTAACATAAAAGTACCATACAAGTAACATCTAAGTGATATCTAAGTGACATCTAAGTGACATCTAAGAAACATATAAGTAACATATAAGTAACATATAAGTCACATCTAAGTAACATATAAGTAACATATAAGTAACATATAAGTAACATCTAAGTGATATCTAAGTGACATCTAAGTGACATCTAAGAAACATAAAAGTAACATATAAGTAACATATAAGTAACATATAAGTAACATAAAAGTACCATACAAGTAACATCAAAGTGATATCTAAGTGACATCTAAGTGACATCTAAGCAACATATAAGTAAAATATAAGTAACATATAAGTAACATATAAGTAACATAAAAGTACCATGCAAGTAACATCTAAGTGATATCTAAGTGACATCTAAGTGACATCTAAGAAACATATAAGTAACATATAAGTAACATATAAGTCACATCTAAGTAACATATAAGTAACATATAAGTAACATATAAGTAACATCTAAGTGATATAAGTATCTAAGTGATCTAAGTGATATCTAAGTGACATCTAAGTGAATCTATGAAACAATAAGCAACGAAAGTAACAAATAAAGAGTAACATATAAGAACATATAAGTAAACTATAAGAACATCTAAATAAGTGATACTAGTGATATCTAAGTGATATCTAGGTGATATCTAAGTCACATCTAAGTAACATATAAGTAACATATAAGTAACATATAAGTAACATCTAAGTGATATCTAAGTGACATCTAAGTGACATCTAAGTGATATCTAAGTGACATCTAAGTGACATCTATGAAACATATAAGCAACATATAAGTAACAAATAAGTCACATCTAAGTAACATATAAGTAACATATAAGTAACATATAAGTAACATCTAAGTGATATCTAAGTGATATCTAAGTGATATCTATGTGATATCTAAGTGACATCTAAGTGACATCTAAGACACATATAAGTAACATATAAGTAACATCTAAGTGATATCTAAGTGACATCTAAGTGACATCTAAGTGATATCTAAGTGACATCTAAGTGACATCTAAGAAACATATACGTAACATATAAGTAACAAATAAGTCACATCTAAGTAACATATAAGTAACATATAAGTAACATATAAGTAACATCTAAGTGATATCTAAGTGATATCTAAGTGATATCTAAGTGATATCTAAGTGACATCTAAGTGACATCTAAGACACATATAAGTAACATATAAATAACATATAATAATGTCCCAACAAATATGAATCAAACACTTGGAGCCTCCTTGAAGTCGGGCACAGGGACCATGATCCAGGTGGTCGGCATCTGAGTGGTGCCTGGGAGAATCCACCCTGCTGGTTGGTGGTTTTTCGCCACCCCTCTGAAAAATATGAGTTCGTCAGTTGGGATGATTATCCCCAGCATATGGAAAAATAAAAAATGTTCCAAACCGCCAACCAGTGGAATATCATTGAACATCATGGAAGATCTGGATCCAACAAGCTGGAAAACGCTTGTAACATGTCTTCTGTTCCATCCAAAAAAATCTGAAGAATGCTAGAATGTCGTCCGTTCCAGCCGAGCGAAACCCGAATGGAGGTCAATCATAGTCATTCCGCCAAGGATACTGTTGCCATCAGCCACTCTTATCGTAGTACGGTGCCGGATGGCTCATGACATGTACCACATTTCCTTCCCCCAATGGTCCCAAAAACACCGGGTTAGAAAACGTTTGAAAAGCTGCACCTCACTTCGTGATCCAAAATCTCAGATCTTAGTGATCAAAGAATATCCCCTCAAACATGCCAGCAATTTCCTGAAAGTAGAACAAGTATGAAAGAGTTGAATTATACGCCCTGGTCATTTACCACATTTAACACTGAACTCCGGGGAAAACAAACATCCACATTTTCATAGGTAAAATCCTCCAACTTTCATAGGTCCTCAGCAGTTCCCAGTCCAACTTTCTCGGAGTCACTCGAGGTGGCACAAGCCACGCCCATGTTTTCACAGCACCAAATCTTGTGCGGATTGGACCAGAGCTCGATGATCTTGGCCCCCGGTGGTGGCAAGCTACCGGCGGCCGTGTAGCAGTTGTAACCTGGGCCAAAAGGTAAACGCCACCCTGGCCCTGTACCAAAACTCCGATCCTGGCTGCCAACACCCAATGAGCCTTGACGATCATCCTTCAAAGGGACATTTTAGAGGAAATCCCTCTATTTCATTGGAACCAGCCACTTTCAGGTCAAGATTTTCCCAAACATAGATAGAAACCCACCAGCTGTCTGCCACCTGCCTCTACCTGCCAGTTCAAGGTGGGATTTTTTCACTAGGCAATGGAAAAGCCACCATTTAGTTCGATATGTTTTTCCTATGGCCGGTTTCATACCCAAACTGATCAGTTCGATGCCACAGTTTTGATCCCCCACTTCTGCCCCCTATTATTTTCACTAGCTGTCCGAGTCCCAGACCTTGATGAAGAGAACATCTACCCACAAAGACAGTCGGTGTGTATTCATATACTGTATATATATATGTACACAGCGTTGATCACCCTAAAGGTTTCTGGGGACATGTTTACTTAATTTGATAATACATACATGTTTAAACACGTGCCCCCCAAAAAAAAACTGGTTTCATTGAACATGTCCTTCGACCAAGCCATCTCAGCTTAGTGACGTGCACCCTCATCGGCTCCTACCTGCTGGTGATGCTCTACCTGGGTTTTGATCAGAGGCCCAAGGTCGGCGAAAATCGTGCTAGTGCTGTAAGCATTTGAAACACCAACCATATCAACCATTTAGACATGACCCAAGAATATCAATATTTGATCCCTATCATTTTCGGTTAAACGTAGCTTGGTTGAACTTTGAGACCAGCAATGCCTTCCACAACTTCGAGAAGGGTCCCAGAACCTCTACGCTTCCAACAGTTGGACTTGGACTCCCAGAAAAAGTAAGTCAAGAATCTGACTTTCACAAACCAATCAGTTCCAGCAACTGATTATCGAACATTTGGGCTCGTCTGAAAATATGCATTCCATCCATTGATGACCCGGTGATTTTCCTTCTCAGACTGGACATGAATTGGGGGTCAAGCTCCAGTTTTGAGACACACAAATTTCCACTGTTCCTAAGATTGAGTTCATTCGGTGAGAAAAACGACCATTCTTCATTCTGGGGGCTTAAACCATCATGTGTCACCAGTTTTGATGCTGGAACCACCATTCTTCCTGCGTCATGAGTCACGGCAAAGACGATGGCCGCAATGATGAGGCTCAAAAGGAAACATCCGCAGCTGGCCCACAGGCACCACCTCAGGGAAAATGCGGCCCGTTACCCATCCCAAAATGGTGGTTCAACAATGGTTCATCCATTAGAAATTTGAGGTTTCTTCAGTGTTACGCTGGGGTTGTAGGGGTTTTTCATCCAAAGTAGGATGGTAGCGGTGTACAGTGGAATGTATTTACAAACAACCGTGATATACCCTTCTGCCATCAAACATGGCAATTGGAAAGGGAGTTTTCATGGGAACATCAGCTCTAATTAAATGGAACAAATCCATTGCCATGCTTGATTACCGGAGGGTACACAATGGTGAAAACCATGGTTTCCGTAGATACCCAAATGAGCAGTGCTTCCTGGTTTATAGGGATCGCCCTTATGGGGCGTGATGAAATTATACATAGAATGTATAAATCATTATTAAATATTATTAATAGATATTAATAGTGTTTAGCGGATTGATGATCATCCCCTTTCATGGGAATATAAAGCAGTTGTTAACAAATGAAAGTGAGAGAATGATGCTCAACCCCCGCCTGTACCAGGGCATTCTGACGCGCTCCCAGTCATAGTCTCCTCGACCCTGTCCTGGTCACACCGCTCATCGCAGATCATTTCTACGGCTTGGAGGTTGAGTTGGGCCAAATAATAGGTATAAATCGGCATAAATGTAAAAACCATGATGGTAACCTTCATAAGCTGAGATGTAGCTGATATAAGCCCTATGATTCCGGTTCTGTCTCCACTTGCAACTGGAACTACCACTCCCAAGTGGGTGCCCCTAAAAACCTCCCAAACATCAAGGCCTGTTAATCCAGCCAACCTTCAACATACCTTCGTTTCAGACTGTCCTACATGGACGTAGTCGTCCACTCTTGTGTAGGCCTTAGTTCGCTTGAGGCCTACGAAGTGCTCATTGCTGGGAGAGTGGGGTATTCTTAGTATCCAATTGGGATTTACCATGGGGATTTAGTGGGAAAATGGTAATAGGTTATGGGATTCAATGGGGATCTTACCCAATAACAATTTCGGATAAGTAATATCATCTCCCCCATAGATTTGACATACCAACATTTTAAGGCACCCAAATCATCAATAGATCCACTGCTAAAACATAGTTCTAGGGAGGTCTGTCATGTTATTATATAGGGGCTACCGAGGCTTCCATTCTGCAAGTCATGATTTCACCAAAGGGTACCAAAGTCTGCAGTAGATTCTAGCCCCCAAAAAGTGATCAATACCCTCTGGAAAACTACTAACGTAGCTATTGAACATGGCCATAGAAATAGTTGGTTTACCCATTAAAAAGGGTGATTTTCCACAGCCATCTTAGTTTACCAGAGGGTAACGAAAAGGACACCCCAATTCCTATCTGATCTAACACTTCACCAGCCATCGTTGCAATTCATGCAAGGTGGATCAAGGTGGTGTCTCAAAACGTTAGCGACGTTGGTTTATATGTAATAACTGCACTTGCTAGGCTTTTGGTAGAGATGATCATGATGATGATGATCATCATCATCATGAACCATTAATAATCATCAATAACCATCATCAACCCTTAATATCTAGTACTAACCATGACTAACCACTGTTCTTGCTGCTCAAGAACTCATTTCTTGTAAAACACAGCAGGCAGGATCTTCCGGCAGTGGGATGCATCCTCCTAAAAATTCCCAAACCAACAAAGACCCACAAGCGGAGTGATGGATGGTGATATCGGATAGTGATATCCCTATCAAATTATCATTTCAGGTCTGATCCGGTCGTCAAATCATCCCTTGCCAAACATCCACACTGTCCAAATCTAGCCTCTGAAATTCCTCCAAGTTGCGCCCTTTCCAGGTCCGACATACTTCCTGGAGCAAGGGGATCAACATGTGCGCGGCGTAGCTAGGGATTTACGATGTGCCGACGTAGAGCTCTCCGGTAATTTAACATAGCCAGGGATAGCTAGGCTGAACATGGCCCAGTGTAGATGATTTACCGATTTACCTATGAAAGATGGTGATTTTCCATGACCATGCTGGATGGCGAAAGGAGAAAAACCGCTTCCAGTGATTCTCCCGTGGATTAAGCGATAGGACCCACCACCGGTCTGCACACTCAATCCACAAAGGTAATTCAAAACACAAAATCATTCATTGAGAAAGTGAATCCGTTTAAAAACCAAAAGCGCAAAACAACTGCAACAGAACAAGCTAAGAATGTGTTCTGAACTGCCAACTGTGGCCGTTTCTCCCACAGTGTACTTGCAAGTTTCGCCAAGGACTTGTCGACAAAACAATTGAATCCATCATCATCATCATCATCATGATCATCACTCTAGATGATCATGATTCGTGATTATCATCACTTGCTCCTGGTTTCCGATTCTTAACTTAACCGTGTGATCCGATCCAAGGCTCTGATAGATCTGCCCCCGGCCATCATCCAGTAATGCATCCTGGCCCAAGGTACATGGAGTTCGATGATTTAGCTATCAAACACTGAGCTGCTGCAGAGTTGCTGTGTCAAATGGAGACGGTGATCACCCGTATTTAGTTCGATGATTTAGCTATGATCTAAAAAAGATCTACTTAAGGTGGTTTTCCATAGCATGCAGCAAACTGTTAAACTGGTAAATGTAATGTAAATGTATTGATCGAAGGGAACAATGGCAGGAACAAATGATTTTCTCCCAGAGATATAGTGTTCTTGTAATTGTTTGAATCATTCAATCCTGGAAGAGTGCAAAAAACAGCTAGAAATTGAAACATACTTCTTGGAGGTTTTGAAGAGGGACCTGCACCAAGACTTGCGAACCTTTTCACATCTCGTCTGTATGAAGCTGTTGCCGCAGTTGCCCCTGAATTCTATTGACACTTCGGGCTACAAAGTAGTTGACTTGGAAGCTGAACAATGAACAAAGTCGCTCCAAGAAATGGATAGAAATGGCATCCCTGGTGGACATGGCTACTGAAAATCCATCTGTGGATCTCAGGATCCAGTCTCCAGCAGTGAGCCTACATTCCCAGATGAAAAAACCATGGTCCTGGAATTCCAGCACACCAACATGATCAACATTTGCCCGGCGTCCAAGTTCTCACCCAGTTTTTAATGGTTTTTATATACCAGCACCATGCTTCGCATATCCAGTTATAAGTTATAGTTTATAAACCATAGTCACTAGTTCGATATATCTACCATAAATCATAGTTAGCATTAATGGGATTTATCAAAAGCCACCTGACAAATACATCGACCATAAACCCAACAGATCCCACATCAGCTCAGCTCAGTAGGGATCAGCTCTGAGTTCCCATTTCGTTTAAGGTGATGCTCCCGTCATGAGTCAATGACCTTACATCATTTTTTTCAATATAACGACCTTACATCGTTATATATATATATAAATAAATATATATATATCTACAATAATCATTTATTATTATTCTTATTATCATTATTATAATTATAATTATTATTATTATATATAATACATACATATATATATATATCTCTCTCTCTCTCTCCATCACCATCCCGCAGGTCCAGGCTCAATGGACCTAGGTCATTCCCTGTGGAATTTCTGGAATTCCCACGGTCCCAAGGTAGTCCCTATCATCCCCACCTCGCTGCAACACTCGTAGTTCACCTTGGGATCCACATGTGACATGGCTCCTGGGCGGCGGAGAAACTCGAAGATACAAACCGAGTCCACAGAGAAGATGGTGATCGAATGGTGATCTAATGGTGGTACAGGTGGGATTATAGTGATTTAATGGGATTATAGTGGTAATTTAATGGAATTGTATTGGGATTATAATGGAAAATCCATATTTGGATATGTGTGGGGGTTTCCAATTCATGGGGCTACCCCCAGTCATCACCCATGTTATTTTTTCGGATTCTCCATTTATGAACCATCCAGCAATTGGGGTACGCCCATGACGCTGCCAGTTGTTGAAGTTTCTGGACCTATTGAAGTTCACACGTCTGACCGTCAGGTGATTTGCGAAAAACAGCTGGACCGTCCTGTCGTGAAAAGTATCCCCATTTCCAAAGTGAAGTTGAAACAACGACATCTTTAAGCGGGAAAACCCCCAAATATATCCAATGAATGAAGAATCCACCATTCCAAGTTACCCATTCCTCTCCAAACCAGCTGATGTCACCACAGAATCGCTGTGTCCAAATTCAAACAACATTGTCCCTATCAATGTGGGGCCCCCCAGTGATGTTAGTTGGTTTATAAACCCCATTAACTATAGTTATAAGTACCATAAACCATAATTATTGGAGCTATAAACCAACATTGTATCAACAATGGTTAAGACTCCTAGTCCATGACCTTTAATCCACATCTTGCTGGTTGAGCTACCGCGGGCGCCGACGCCAACGGCGAAAAAAACGTGCCCCACGGACTTGGCTTTTCTGAAAACGGCCGCGGGTCAAGCTGTGCCGGGCGACTGCTGAGGGTAAGAACAAGACAGCACTTGGGCACCAATGTACAGTATTTGATCATATAACATCATCTAACATCATATATCATCATATAACATCATATAACATCAAATCACATCATATAACATAGTATATCATATAACTCATCATATAACATTATGTTTTTATTTGGAGGATTTTTTGAGGAAAGGGCCCAAGATTCCAAGATGGCCAAGATCGCGCCAAGCAGCAAAGTCCTGGACCCGGTATTTTTCGGAGATTTTGGGGCTCAAGTTGGCACGGCAGAATTTCCACCATGGGGAGAATTTACTTAATGGTGATTTAATGGTGATTTAATGGGACTTAATGGTACTGTATAGGGTTTTAATGTGATTTAATGGGATTTAATGGTGATTCAATAGGGATTCAATGGTGATTCAATGGGATTTAATGGTGATTTAATGGTGATTTAATGGGATATGTGATGGTTTACCCTCTGGTAAACAGTCACAAAAAACTATGGAAAGATCCAGCATGTTCTAGCTGGGTAAATCCACCATAAATGGTCATGTTCAATAGCTATGTTAGTCACCAGGCCGGGTAACAGATTGATATTCGGAAGGTATGGAGCTAGCATCCCCATGCATCCAAAGTGGGATGGTTGATGATCTCAGCTGCTTTTTTTTCGCTCAAACGGGGCTCCAACATGCGAAGCTTCCCTCAGCAATCCTGGTGATTTAGCAAGCTGGAGGCATCTGGGTGCAAATGACTACAGATATAGACATGATTACAGTAATTACACATACCTATCGCCAGGATCGATCAACGCTAAAAGAGCAATACCTTAGCTAAGATCTAGATAGTTACACATGCCGTCTCTTGCCAAAGAATGTCTCTGTGTACAGCTAGTTTGCATGTCATCGCTACTCTCAAACTTGAGGGACTCCAAACAGCGATAATCACGGAAGAAAACCATATGGAAAAGCCACTGGACACAAAAAGGAACCGAGACATTTTCGCACCCATCTTATCCACTGAACTGGCATGTGTCCAATCCAAATACCCTCCGATAGTTTAACATAGCTATTGAAGTGCCAGTATAGTTGATCTAATTACCTATAAAACATGAGGATTTTTCATATAGTGATGTTAGTTTTACCAGTGGATAATTAATCCATATCTTCATTCCTCCATAACTTCAACATCTTTTTGGATAGGGAATCTTAATTATGGATAGGGATAATTCATATCTTCCCCATAAAACATGAGAATTTTTCAGGATGGTCGTTTTACCAATAAGCCATATCTTCATATTATTCATCATATTTATTGGTAATTTATGGATAGGGATAACCCAATAACCCAATATCCCTATCATATTACCAAAATCTTCATTCAGCTTCAACCATCATTTTTCCATCATTTTTCCCCATCCCGAAATATCCCGCCCGTTGTCGCGGCATTCGCGGCATCAACGCGTCACGCCTGACCCGTGGAGGTGCAACTCTGAGCTCCTCGCCCCCGAACAAAGAGCTCAGGGGATGAGGCGTTGATCGTTGCAAGAGCGACCTGCAATTCTTGACTGATGCAAGGCCATTGAATTAGAATATCATACATATATATAATTATATATATAATTATATATATAATTATATATAATTATATATATATGTTACATGTTCAGGTTTTCATGTTCACTAAAAAACATGTTTTTCAGACTCCATGATTTCGAAAAAGTCCATGATGCCATTGCCATGTTGATCTCCCATGATCTCCCGATGAATCTTTTCCTTGACCACCGAGGCACGACTCGCGGGGAAAGCTCTGCACCCATACCTGGTCTGACGGGGAAATTCAAGAAGAACAGCCCTATATTTAATGGTAAAAACCTTGGCTTTTTCTAGTAGATTTTCTCTTAAACCAATCCAATGAATCATCATCTATCAATGATATAAATATGTGAATGTATATATAAATATATATGAGGGGAAAAAAAAACAGTGAGTAATCATTGGGTAATATTTGATGTTACTCTCCTTGGGCCTGTGAAATCGTAGAGCCTACGATTCAACCATCAGAAGTAAACCAAGTTTACTCAATGATCAATACCTAAATTATACATGTATAATATATATTGCTATTGATAAATGGGTGATGAATTATATAATAGATAGTATGTGTTTTACTCAATGATTGATATCTAATGGTCCATCTGGTTGCTTTCATCCCGTTAATGAATAGTAAATATGCGCACCAGGGGCGCGAAGTTGCGAAGCAACATGTTCATTTACTACGTACTTGCCGGTGTAAATGATCAATGGCCATTTCAGGAACCTAAATTGGAGGTACCTACCATATATAAGGCCTATATAAGGCCTATGTAAGGGAATATCCCCACAAAATATGGCCTTATATGGTACAGTACCTCCAATTTAGGATCTTGGAATTCCCATTGATGATATGCTGATACTCTCGTTGACGGCTACGAGATGGCAACGAGATGGCAACCAAAACTTCCATCACACGCCTCAGATTCGGCGTCGGCGTACACCAGTGCATCATTGCCTGCCCCAAAGGCTGTGAATAAACTGCAAAAATGCCCAAGTTATGATCCCATTTGTCAATTAAGACATAAACGCTTGAAACCATCAACCAGTATATTTGCCCTCCATCAAACGTGGCTGGAAAAACCCATGGAAATTCTATGAAATTTTCAAACTAAACAGGGTTTTCCAAATGGGATAATCATCTAAATGTACGAGAAATTTATATAAATTATGGATCTCTTCTATCTTAAATGGATGAGTATCCCATCCCTCTATTTGGAGGTTTCCTAAAATGGTTGTACCTCAAAATCATCAATTTTTATAGTATTTTCCATTAGAAACAATCCAGCTATGGGGGTATGTCCATTTATGGAAACCGCCATTTAGATCTATTTCGTTTGAGGAGTTCCATTCATTTTCCCGTGACAATTCTGGTCGTCGAGTCGTCGACCGTCCTGGATTCCAAAAGCGCAAGCGACGTTCGAACTGGTCGAAGAATGGCAGCACCTGGTGACAGAAAGGCTTGGTTTAAGATGGTTTAAGGCACCAAGAGGCCAAGAGAATACCGAGAGGTACCAAGAATCCCTATTTTTCGCGAGAAAACACTCAGAAACCATTGTGTCTTCTTTTCTTTTCCAAAAATTAAACCATCATCAATCACAGAAAGTCCGCTGTCAATTCTTCAGCTGCTCCGACAGCTTGAGGGGATATATCGATATGTCCACCACAATTTGTACAAAATGGGTTGTGAGTAGGGGCCACCAACAATACCAACAAAATCGAGACTTCAAGAAGCAAAAGGGGTATATCAGCGTGTTCAACTGCATTGCCTCAAAATATGGGAGATATGCTATGAAATTCCATGCCGGGAGGCGCATGCATTTTCAGCGCATATCCCTTACTCTCCCAATGTTTTACGGCGATGCAGTATGATGCAGTCAAACACGCTGATTTTGATAATGTTGGAAGGAGGTGCATAAGCATCATAAACGATCACTGGACAAAGACACATGGGAAGGAAACTCAAGAATTGTGTCTTACACCAAGCGCGACGAACCTTCCAGAACGAGCACAGTGTGCACAACAGGTGCAGATTCTGGTACCCAATTTGTGTTGGTGAAACCCGACATGGGCTTGCCTAGAATCGGGTGCCCAAGAAATCAATCGCTTTGACAGTCACACTATTTTTTCGCACATACAGCAGTAATTGCATACAGAAAATTTGGGCATATCATGGCATATAACCCACTTTCAAACCAAACCACATGCTGATGAATGTTGCTTGAAAACATGTGGTGTCCTCTGGAAAACAGCGACCTTGATTACTGTGATGTCTGGACTAGGTCTTCACCAACTCAGTCTGATTGAAGTTGTTGCCTTTCTCCCAAAGTATTGGTGCTATGTTCAACATTGTTTACCACATTCCTTTTTCTTAAACCCCTATAAATGAAGAATACACAACACGGTCGGTTTCCTATAAACTTCCAAGTTTCATTGAGTATATCCCCAGTTTTGCTGCTGATCTCCCATTGTGGGTTGTTAAACCCTCCATCGATGTGGGAAATTCACGAGTTTTCATATAGTTAATATCCTTTTTTTTGGACCCAACGTCTTCCATGTGTTCGAAGTAACATAGCATCAAGTAAGTGACAATATAATACCCATACATCCACCAAACCATTACCCATATTCAACCCATATGGCGTTGTCTGAACATAGAGTATAAGATAATCCAATGGTTTTAGAACATCATTTTCTGCAAAATATCAATGGATTGGTTTAAGTTGGTGATTTTCCATGATTTTCCATTGCTATGTAAACGTTTACCAGAGGGTATATAGATGTTCATGGCTTTTCCCATAGAAATCCCATAGGTTCCCCCCCAAAAAACACAGCATTTTCCAACATCTTCAGTGGGCGTTCGTTCCATCCCAAAGGGCACCCGGACCCGTCCCGAAAAGACACGGTTGGGCACAAAGCCCACGGGGGCCACCGTGAGGCCTTGGAGGAAGCCATGGTGATCCTGGATGGTTAATGGTTATGAGTGGTTAATGGTGTTTAATGGTGTTTAATGGTTATGAGTGATTAATAATGGTTAATAATGGTTAATAATGGTTAATAATGGTTAATAATGGTTAATAAAATTGTACTTCTAATGTGATGTTTAATGGTTATGAGTTATGAGTGGTTATATAATAATGGTTAATCATGGTGATTGTTGGTGATTAATGGATGATTCATGGATGACGAAAATGTGGATAAAACAATGCCATGTTTACCACCCATGGCTGGGAATGGTAAACATACCAGCTACAAAAATGCTGATGACTGGGGGATGGTGCGTTTATGGCATTGTTTTAGCCACACTACCATGATGGGATGGATCATATAAAATGATATAAAATGGACCATGCCCCATATACTATGTTTTGACCATGGCACATATAATATCCATATATAATGTAGCAAAGCCAATTTCAGACAGCTCCGTCGTTCAATTCACCTTTTTGAAATAGTTGCTGTATGTTCATGTAAATATTTTTCTTTATTGAGCGCCACGGATCTGGAGCTCCAAGATGTACGTGTCATATCAAAATCCTCCAAATTGCTCATTTGAACCTTTGAAATTGAGACCCTAAAATCACAATAGATCCAATACATTCCTTGGGAGGTGTTTGACATTAGGACAATGGGATTACGACATGGTTTTAAACAGCATGCTCCAATTTTCTTGATGGCCATATATATCCCTAAATTCAGGCCCCTGCTTTTGGAGAAACCATCGGACCCATCATATTGGCATAGCACCGGGCCGTGCCCGCCAACAATCTCTGGCATCATCCCGCATAGGGGTACACCCTCTGTGAGGCAATCTGGAGTCTGTAGTGAAACATGCTTCCCCTATGAAAAACTCATGGTGATTTTCGCAAGCTGTCAGTTTTTGAGGCTAGATCCACCATCAAAATTTAGGAAAAACCCCTTGCCCTCTGGTAAACTAACATAGTTATGGAAAATCACAATTTTTAATGGGAAAACTCACTATAAATTGCCATTTTCAATAGCTATGTTAGTTTACCAGAGGGTAATAAAGCCCATGAAAACCCATTAAAATCATATGACTTTCCCATTTTTGATGGTTAACTCGCGATTTTTGATGGTGAAATCCCCACCTGTTGATGGTCAAAGCTGGGCCCTGGCAGCCACTACTTCTGGTCTCAGCCAGCTCTGCATCCCAAACCTGCGGCCGAAGTTGGGATTCCTTAAGAACCCCTTTTTTTAGGCAAATTTAACAAATCACAGAACATTGTTGACTGGTTGGTGGTTTCAACTATCTTGAAAAATATGAAAGTCAATGGAAAGGATGACATCCCATATATCCATATATTATGAAAAATAAAAGCCATGTTTGAAACCACCAACCAGTTGTTGATGGTTGCTTATGGCACAAATCAGAATTCTGGGAGTTTTCACATAGAGAAAACTAGGATTTGTATAACACAGATCCTAGTTGGGGACCACGAAATGATTGTGAACTGGGATGTCAGAATCACAAATTGGCATGAACCCTTGACACAACACAATTTAAGGGGAATTTTGGTGCTGAACTTGGATGAACTGGAATTTCACAGTCACAAATTGATCTTTGACCATCGAACACTGCTCGGAAACCAAACCGCTAAAAGGCAAAAACATCAAATTCGACAATGCGGCAAGACTTGTCATGTATGTTCTGTTCGTTTTTGAAGATTGAAACACTGGTTCCTATTTTGGTCCATCGTTTTGGACCACAAGCATGGCACAAGGAGCGCCTAAGCCTAAGCAATCCACAAAGATGGGAAAGTACGGAAAAGCCTGGTTATCGCTAGACCCCCACAAGGGATTGCGGCAATGTTCCATCAAACTGACAACGTAACCTAACATAACCAACGGTTGTATGAGGATATCAACTGACAGTGATGCACCCGCTATCATTTCCAGCACCAGGACATTACCCACTGAAGCCCCGACAAATGAAACCTCATATGTCCTCATGTTGCTGGTTTTCAACCATAAATCCCCAGCCAAAAATCACCCAAAGTCATCCAGTCGTCTCCGCTTGGGCCCCCAAACCGTCCAAACCAAGCAGTTGGGCGCATGCACCAGCAAGGCCAAGCGTGAGCCGCCCCATGTCATGCCCTGGAGGGCAAGATTTAGACCAGAACACGACCAAACTGAGATTTGCATAGATCAATCTAAATTAGACCAATCAAAATTGTTTCACCTATAGCGACGGACAACTACTTAGAACAAATTTTGGAAAAAAATCGGAAAAAAAACACAGGGAGAAACTACTTAGAATGAAAAACCGTAACCATCCGAACCCCACTACTTAGAACAAAAACAAACACACTTAGAACAAAAACAAACCCCATTATGTAACAATTTTAGCAAACATTGCCATTCAAAACAACATGTTACAACAATTTTGGCAAACATTGCCATTCAAAATAACATGTTTCATGATTTTTGATGTATGCTATTCCCCGGGCACGATGTCTAATTTTGCAACCTAAATGTAATTTGTTCTAAGCGTGGGTTTCGCCAGCCAAATACGCACATGTAGAAGTATAGACACAAACGTATAAATGCATATAGGTTCAAATGTGTGTATATATATATATATTTACTGTATGGATAATGGCAAAATGTGATTTGTTCTAAGTCTGGGTTTCGCCACCCAAATACGCACATATACAAGTATAGATACAAACGTATAAATGTATATAGGTTCAAATGTGTGTATATATATGTATATATATTTTATGGATAATGACAAAATGCAATTTGTTCTAAGTGTGGGTTTCGCCGCCTAAATACGCACATATACAAGTATAGACACAAACGTATAAATAAATATAGGTTCAAATGTGTATAAATATACATATTCTATGGATAACGACAAAATGTGATTTGTTCTAAGTGTCGGTTTCGCCAGCTAAATACGCACATATACAAGTATAGACACAAACGTATAAATGCATATAGGTTCAAACGTATATATATATATAATACAAATATTTATGGATAACGACAAAATGTGATTTGTTCTATGTGTGGGTTTCGCCACCTAAATACGTACATGTACAAGTATAGACTAAAACATATATGTATAGGTTCTAATGTGTGTGTATATATATATATATGTATACTATGGAAAACGACAAAATGTGATTATCCTAAGTGTGAGTTTCGCCAGCTAAATACGCACATATACAAGTATAGACACAAACGTATAAATGCATATAGGTTCAAACGTATATATATATATAATACAAATATTTATGGATAACGACAAAATGTGATTTGTTCTATGTGTGGGTTTCGCCACCTAAATACGTACATGTACAAGTATAGACTCAAACATATATGTATAGGTTCTAATGTGTGTATATATACAAACATATGTATATTATGGAAAACGACAAAATGTGATTTGTTCTAAGTGTGGGTTTCGCCAGCTAAATACGCACATATACAAGTATAGACACAAACGTATACATGTATATAGGTTCAAGGGTGTGTATTTTTATATAAATATATATATTATATGGATAAGGACAGAGTGCGATTTGTTCTAAGTGTGGGTTTCGCCACCTAAATACGCACATGTACAAGTATAGACACTGACGTATACATGTATATAGGTTCAAATGTATATATATATAATATATATAATATATATATAATATATATATTTTTTAATATATTTATATAAGTACTATGGATAACGACAAACTGTGATTTGTTCTAAGTGTGGGTTTCGCCACCTAAATACGCACATATACAAGTATAGACACAAATGTATCTATGCATATAGGTTCTAATGTGTGTATATACTATATTTATATAGTGAGGTACCCGAACATAGAATTTAGAATTGAACAAAAATAGGTTGTTTGGTGCATCTTCCAGAATTGAAAAAAACGGTGTACATAGAATACACCAGGAGTGTACATAGAATATTTTTCAATTCTGGAAGATCTTTTTTGTATTTTTTTATTATCCAAACATTACCCATACTGCAGCATAAATGGACAGTTTTCATAGGTATCTTTCATGTATAAGGGTATATATCATATATGTAATTCCCTTTGGAGAGTAGCAACCCTGGATGTCTGAGGTTCCTAAACTAGAACGTTTTAACAAAAAAACAGGTCCCCCGAAATGATCAATTTCTTTTTATATTGTATGAAAAAATGAGTTTTTCAGGCTCACCGAAGGGTACCTACCCCCCACGACCGGTGTCCTAGAACTATGAAAAGAAACTATTTTGCAATGAAAGCCAATGGAATTAAGTGGCGTTCCTGAAAAAATGGATGAACATTTTCACTGTGGACCTATATTCTATGTATGTAGTTCTGAAAGGAATTAGGTATCTTTCATGTATAAGGGTATATATTATATACGATATAATATATATATATTATGGATAACGACAAAATGTGATTTGTTCTAAGTGTGGGTTTCGCCACTTTATACAAGTATAGACATAAACATATGTATGCATATAGGTTCTAACCTGTATGTATGCATGTCTGTCTGTCTGTCTGTCTGTATGTATGTATGTATGTATGTAAATAAATATGGATAACGACAAAATGTAATTTGTTCTAAGAGTGGGTTTCGCCACCTAAATACGCCATGTACAAGTATAGAGACAAACGTATATATGCATATACAGGTTCAAATGTGTATATATATATATTAATGGATAATAGCAAAATGTGATTTGTTCTAAGTGTGGGTTTCGCCACCTAAATACGCCCACATACAAGTATAGACACAAACGTGTACATGTATATAGGTTCAAATTAATATATATATATATTTATGGATAACGACAAAATGCGATTTTTTCAAAGTGTGGGTTTCGCCACCTAAATACGCGCATGTACAAGTATAGACACAAACGTATACAAATATACCGGTTCAAATGTGCATATATATTTATATAAATTTATATATATATATATATTAATGGATAATGGCAAAATGTGATTTGTTCTAAGTGTGGGTTTCGCCACCTGAATACGCACATGTACAAGTATAGACACAAACGTATACAAATATACCGGTTCAAATGTGTATATATATAAAATTAAATGGATAATTAATGGTAAAATGTGATTTGTTCTAAGTGTGGGTTTCGCCACCTGAATACGCACATGTACAAGTATAGACTCAAACGTATATATGTATAGGTTCTAATGTGTGTATATATATATATATGTATATTATGGATAACGACAAAATGTGATTTGTTCTAAGTGTCGGTTTCGCCAGCTAAATACGCACATATACAAGTATAGACACAAACGTATACATGTATATAGGTTCACGCGTGTGTCTTTATATATATATATATATTATATGGATAAGGACAGAGTGTGATTTGTTCTAAGTGTGGGTTTCGCCACCTAAATAAGCACATGTACAAGTATAGACACTGACGTATACATGTATATAGGTTCAAATGTATATATATAACATATAATATTAATATATATATATACATATCATATATATATAATATATATATATATATGTACTATGGATAACGACAAAATGTGATTTGTTCTAAGTGTGGGTTTCGCCACCTAAATACGCCCACATACAAGTATAGACACAAACGTGTACATGTATATAGGTTCAAATTAAAAAATATATATATTTATGGATAACGACAAAAGGTGATTTTTTCAAAGTGTGGGTTTCGCCACCTAAATACGCGCATGTACAAGTATAGACACAAACGTATACAAATATCCCGGTTCAAATGTGTATATATATTTATATAATTATATATATATATATTAATGGATAGTGGCAAAATGTGATTTGTTCTAAGTGTGGGTTTCGCCACCTGAATACGCACATGTACAAGTATAGACACAAACGTATACAAATATACCGGTTCAAATGTGTATATATATATATTAAATGGATAATGGCAAAATGTGATTTGTTCTAAGTGTGGGTTTCGCCACCTGAATACGCACATGTACAAGTATAGACTCAAACGTATATATGTATAGGTTCTAATGTGTGTATATATATGTATATTATGGATAACGACAAAATGTGATTTGTTCTAAGTGTGGGTTTCGCCAGCTAAATATGTACATATACAAGTATAGACACAAACGTATACATGTATATAGGTTCAAGCGTGTGTATTCATATATATTATATATATTATATGGATAAGGACAGAGTGTGATTTGTTCTGAGTGTGGGTTTCGCCACCTAAATACGCACATGTACAAGTATAGACACTGACGTATACATGTATATAGGTTCAAATGTATATATATATATAATATATATTTATATATATACATATCATATATATAATATATATATATATGTACTATGGATAACGACAAAATGTGATTTGTTCTAAGTGTGGGCCTCGCCACCTAAATACGCCCACATACAAGTATAGACACAAACGTGTACATGTATATAGGTTCAAATATATATATATATAAATATATATTCTGGATAACAGCAAAATGTGATTTTGTCAAAGTGTGGGTTTCGCCACCTGAATACGCACATGTACAAGTATAGACACAAACGTATACACATATACAGGTTCAAATGTGTGTATATATATATATATATACTGTATGTGGATAACGACAAAATGTGATTTGTTCTGAGTGTGGGTTTCACCACCTGGAGAGCATGAGAAATGGATCCTGTTAATATCCTTTTTAGGGATGCCGGAAGAAAACCCAGTTCCTTTATATAGATAATTTCTCTATATACAATGTGGAGTGTGCTGCTTTTGGCTGAAACCCAAAAAATAAACTTCACCAGGCCCCCCAGGGAGAACAATCAAGGCTTATTGGTATCCTTCAAGTTTGTTCTACGTGTGGGGTTCACCAACTAGTGAGCGCGGGCAGGGGGTCTCGCAGCAAGTGTTTTTGAACGAATACTTAATTCTTTGTTTCTATACACTATTCAATTGCTTATGTATATTTTTAAAAATATCATTTGTCAGTGGGACAAACGTTCAAGTGTTGTGGGGGGAATATGGTCCATTAAAATTGTTCTAAGTGTGGGTTTTACCAACTGGTGAGCTTGAGAAATGGCTCTCGGGGCAATATATTTTTTTTTTTTTCAGGGGCGTTATGTTTGGAAGAAAACATGGATCATACAGAAACCTTTTTTTCAGGGATGGGTTTGTTCTATATTTTTTCTGGGTTTGATCATCGAGTGTGTTATCAGAACTCCAAAAATGAACCATGTATTTATATATATATATATAGATCATGTTTTCTGGAAGATTAACCGGGATAACAATCAATGGGTGAGTTATCATCAATTATCTGCAAAATATTCAAGATTAGCCGTGATAATCTTTGTTTATAGTGCCGGACATCTACTTAGAACAGAAAACCCATTAAATAGAACAAATATCATTACACTTAGAACAGAAAACCCATTACTTAGAACAAATATCATTACACTTAGAACAGAAAACCCATTACTTAGAACACATTTTGTTATATACATTTTGTTCTAAGTGTTTTGGTTCTAAGTAGGCCCTTAGAACAAAATGACCCAGACATTTTGGAAAAAAAATTGTTCTAAGTAGATGTCCGATGCTATAGATTCTTAAAGGTGGGGAGAATTTACCCTCTGGTAACATAACTATGGAAAATCACCATGTTCAATGGGTAAATCCAGTATTTCAGTGGCCATTTTCTAAAGCTATGTTAGTCATTACTATATGCAAATCATCGGTTTTTCGCATGCACCGTTTTTTAGCCAGCCACGAACCATGGCGCCGCGCCGCGCCTCCACTCGATTGGGATGAGTGAAAGCTGTAAAAGGTGGACCTCAATTCGATGAATCCCACCAGGTTGCATATCGAACGCTGAAAAAATCATCCTGAAGTAGATAGAATATGACATATATGGCTATATAGTGCTATATATGGCTATATAATGCTATATAGGATTTTCAAACATATTTCCATTTTAGTAAGTTTTTTTAAAATCAAGATTCTACTCCAGAATGCCTATACTTGCTGGGGTTTATAAACCAACTTACAGCTTCGAACTTATCTAATAGAGTGGATTCTTATCTAATAGAGTGGATTATATGCCCATGAATCTCTCTCCACCATTTGTCTATGATTTCTCCCCATTACTGTACCCTCCGACAATCAAATGCGTCAATTGAACATCCCAGATTTGACTGCTGGAGGGGTATGGTAAGCAGATAGATAGAACAGTTCCAGGTTTCGAACTTTTCGGTCTCTTTTTGGGGATGGCTCACAGATTTTTGCACAGCCTTCGAACAATCGCTCTCTGTCTCCCTCTCTCTATGTATTCACGCATATGTATACATTTGTATATATTGTAGCACGTAGAACTTTCCTGGCCTATCCAATTTTGAGCTGTACATACCCGTGGCCCGTATCCGTATACGAGAAACAAACTACATACTGTAGATATATGACATGTGTGTCCTTTTTGTTCGGGGGGTGCCCAAAAGTAGGATCAAGGGAAACGTTGAGGTTTACTATCTTCCACACCCACGGGTTTTTCAATGACATGGAACCTAAAATGACATACCCTCTGGTTATGTCAAAATAGCTGAAAATTGCCATTTATAGTTGATTTTCCCATTAAAAAACGGTGATTTTCCATAGTTATGTTAGTTTACTAGAGGGAAACACAACGGTGGTCAGTGCTAAACTCACCCGAGGTCATGATACCAACCCTTTCCTTGACCGGGATGCCGACCAAGTTTGGGATGGATGCGGCGCGCAAAGACCCCGCCATGCCCGTGTTCATCGTGCAGACCACACCTGGTGGATGAAGTTCTTTTATGATATTTTTAGTCTTCAAAATGGAGTTGCCTGATGTTCATATATATATATATACATATGATCATATACATATGATTTACATGTGTATTATATACAAATGTGTGTGTTGATGATTCCACCCTCCGCAAACTATGCAAGATTGGCGAAGTAGACTAATTTCTGTGCAAGTGATCATCCATCAATCTCCATCATCTACAAGTCAGAAATCCGGGAGAATCCATTTTCTTCGTTCCATTTTTGGGATTTGCGATTTAGCAAACATCCATATGACAAATTTATCCATTTTTGGGAAATTAGTGGAAATTCCTGAGGTTTCCCATAGTTTTGGGAATGATGTTTCCTTTTTTTGGAGATACTCCATCCCAAAAAAACAATATCAAGCTTCAGTGACCCATGTTCGACGAAGCGGTTGCTGAGCTTCCAACCAGGCAACCCAGCTGGGAGTCGCAGTGAAATGCGCCTCTGGAGGTAAGTTCCTCGGGCCAAAAAGTTGGATGACAAGGGACGAAGGTCGAAATCTGTGGGTTTCCAGAAAATTCTTTCATTTCCCATAGGATCCATGTATGGTATATATGCTAACATTGGGGGTATATTGATGGTAAATGTTACCATATATAGCATACATGGATCCTATGGGTTTGGAGATTGTGGAACTAATGGTAACTAAAGTGAATCTGTGGATTCTCAAGTTCGTATAGATGAGTCTCGTGAGATGTGTTGGGTTCTCCCGCCTTCCAGTGGAACAATGGTCTTTCTTTAGGGAGCTACGACAAACGGTTGAACGGGGACGGTCAGCCATCGTTAGAAACCCATGATTTCACCAAAGTCTCAATTCTAAGCAGCAACATTACCCATAGGATCCATGTATGCTATATATGGTAACATTTACCATCAATATACCCCCAATGTTAGCATATATACCATACATGGATCCTATGGGTTAGGATGTGTTCTCTTCTTCGAAATTTATTTGACCAATTAAAATGGGGCTAGTTGGCCAACCAACGATGTATTGTGCGACCAGCCTGCAACATGGCACCTGTGGCATCTTGTAATTGGGGCATCCTGACTTGCAGCAGAGATACCCTCCAGACAACTGGTTGATGTATTAAAGCACCCTTGAATCTTGAAGTTTTTTTAGGTCCCAGTTGTGAATACCAACAGTAAAATTTTCACCAAACCACCAGATCAGAATGTCAGCGGATGGCAGTCCAGGAGTCCAGTTGATCCCAGGAGGATGTGAAAAACACACACATCTATTTGTATGTATGTATGTATATATATATATATATTATATGTGAAGGTTTCCGAACATGGGGGTACCCCCAAATGCTTGGTTTACAATGGAAAAAACATCTATAAATGGATGATGCTAGGGGGTACCCCCATGACTTAGGAAACCCCCAACGGTCAAGATCTGGAAGCCACGCGGCTCACAGAGAATCTCAGCTTCGTTGGTTTCCGGGTCAACCAGGGCCAAAGACACCTGGAGAATAACCAAAAAAAAGAGAGAATCTTGGAGAATGGGATGAATGGAATGGGATGATTCTACTGAAAATTCACCCATATGGGTATGGGAATACACCCATACGATTTGTTAATGATTCTATTGAAAAGCACCCATATGCGAACCATGGTGCTGGAATATTTACCAACATTTGCCCGAACAAAATCACCCAAATGTCGGTAAATATACCATACATGGAGCATCTGGGGCATGGGTAAATGTTTGTTTAGAGAGGTTAATGAGGATTAATCGGGACTGAAATACAGATTACTTGAGATTTCATGGGGATTAATTGCTACTGAATAGTACTGATGAATATTCGATTAATGGGGATTTTATATGTTTTAATATGATTTTAGTTGTTGCTGATAGCGATTTATTGACGGCTAATGGGAATTTAACATGGTCAATGTTGATTTAATTGTGATTAAAAGGAATTTACTTATAGTCAACGGGTATGTATATAACGACGGGGATCAATAGGGATTTGCTGATGGTTAACGTGGGATTTGATGGGGATGATGATGGTTAATGGAAATCAAATGGGGGCAATGGAAATGGATGGAAATGGTACACCTCAAAACTTTGTCCTATTGGGAAAAAATGAGGCGCAAGTTTGATACACGGTATACCGCTTCTACTTCTTATGATGTACCGACTATTGCTGGGGGTGACCCCTGTATTTTCCCCAACCAACTATTGGAAAAAGGGCGCATCCATGCTACATCCACCAAA